CTCCCCCAATCAACAGAAATCAGACTTCTCAAATCCAACTCGATTCCAGCCATCAGCGTACGCAACTCAACAGAGAAAGCCCACCCAACACCTACTTACTCGTTTCTTCTCCACCGGAGGTGCCAGAGAACAATTGCCCGAGCTGATTCACACCCACCCACATATTCGCAAGGGCGAGAACCTCAGGAGCACTGTTCACAGCAAGAGGGCATCATTGGACCAGAGCGGCCCCCAGTCGGCCGGCGAAGGACAAGCAGTTGGCCAAGCGCGCACCAAGGAACATCACTGTAACTTGTCACGTGCATTTTACGCAGCGCAGTCGCGTTCGGGATACTTTTGAAGACTATCTTGAGTCTCTACTTCCCTTCTGTGTGCCGCTTCTGCTTCTATGCTCCTCAAGTCAGGAAACCCAGTCGGCCGACTTGACGACTCTCTGTGGTGGGTTTTACATGAATGGATGATATAGTCCCTACCTCTGATAATTGCTGAACGTCAAAATCGTCGTTCTCGGTAAAACAAGCGCACCACACCAAAAAGCCCTCACCAACAGGCAGGAAACCCAGTCGGCCGGCAAAGGACAAGCAGTCGGCCACCAACCGCACCACAGCAAAAGCGGGCCGCAGTCGGACAGCAAAGGACACACAGCCAGCCAAGCTCACCACACCAAAAAGATGCCGCATATCCTCAACAAGGTAACCAGCACCACACATGTAACAGAAAGGTTCGTCCTTCGACAGGCGATGAAACAGCGTTGCAGTAGTGGGCAAAGCCCGATGAACAGCGAGCCAAAGCAAACCGGCGTGTTTGGTCACCAACAGCTGTTGCAGAGTCCTTCCAAAAAAGCAACAAGCGGGCTGAAGTGATCGGCGCCAATTCATGAAACGAGTCCCGGAGAGCGTTTCCAAGCAGCCGCTAAATCGCCTTCTATATCCTCAACAGGCCACAACATTCCGTAGACAAGGCGAACGGTCAGCTGGGGCAGCGGCAGAACGGTTCGCTGTGCACAGGGGTGTAACCAGGCCCACCGTCTAGGACCGAGAACCAGTCCGGCGGACGGAGGGACACGAAAGGCAGTACTGTCGATACTCCACGGACGAGCCGGAGCCCAGCTCCAGAACACACACCGGTTGTAAATCATCCACCTCAGACTCGATCTCCGCAGTGCCTGACGAGGATGGGCAGAGGGGGAGGGGGGGATCCCAACCCCTCAAAACCATCCCCCGCACCAACCAAGCCTTCAGCTGACAACGTTCTGCCGACACTCTTCTCTTCGTCCCCAACGTTCCGCCGACACTCTTCTTCCCCAACGTTCCGCCGAGGCTCTCTTCTTTCCACTCGAGCGGAATTGCGCCATAATCTTACTCGGGGCCCGGCAAACCTTCTCCTTCGACCAAGCCCCCGGTTCCAATTGCACACTCTGAATCGCATTCTTCCACTCCAATGGAATTACATCCAGCACCTGCTGAAAATGCTCTCTCTCCATCCACACAAACCCGCCAGCGCAGGGTACAACTGCTCCTCTGTTTTCCAACGACAAGGCGACGCTGATTGTCATAAACGCGCAACAATTGCCAACCCTCTTCTCATCCACCCAATGCCGAAATCGCAGAGAGAGTTCAAGAGGGCAGCCTTGCTGGTTCACCAAAAAAGGGTTCTTCAAATAGGTTCTGCGACGACAAACTGTCGTGCCGCTCAAATTATAGACCATGCCGCATCTTTTGGGGGGAAGAAAAAATTATTACACCATGCCGCTCAAATTCCGCGCCACAATTGGGATGCCACCTTGTTGACACAGCGGGGACGCCAAAAAAGCGCTAATAAATTAATAAATTATCATGCTAAATCCCACCGCTCCGCGCGGCCAAAGTCAGAAAGGCGAGCGATTGCAAGGCCAGAGGCTTCCAAGCCGCCCTTCTTTACAAAACGACCGGCTTAAGTGGCCACTTGTTCTCATCAGTGTTCCGGGACGCTGGACCCGATTTCCAGCAGGTGCTCCTTTACCCCCACCAATATATGGAGCCTCCCAGGCAGTGCTGGTGGTGTCTGCTCTCATCAGCGCCCCTCGCACCCACTCTCACACCCACTCGGATTGTTGTTACAAAAAAAAAAAAGAAAAAAAAAAAAAGGAAAAAGGTGGTAACTTGTCAACATAGCCTGCTGCACTTGCAATTTGGGGTCCACCTGACCAAGCCCCCACCTTTACCCCTCTCCTGGATTATCTTAAGCCCAAGCAACTTCTTTTGGCCAAAAGAAGCATCAGATAGTACAGATACATCTTTTTTTTTTTTTTTTTTTTTTTCCCCTTATAAAAGGCCAGTGTTGTAGAGGCCAGTTACCAGGCACACGGTGAATGTGGAGAGCAGTCGGCTGCAGTGACTTGCTGGTTCCAGGTTGCCTGTAGCCTCTCTCTGACGAGGCTGTACCATAGGTAGGGACCGATTCGTAATTTTGTTTGGCTGAGGGTTAACCGAGAGACCTACCTGTGAGGAAAATTCGTGAGGGACATATCTGTAAATATGGGAAAATATAGGCCCAGTACTAACTCGTATTTCCTACAGCTACCCTAACTGCGAATAGCAGACCCGGACTACCCCTAGGACAGACAGGCCCGAAGGGCCTATGCTGATAGACGGTCCTATAGCCTATAGCCGGGTAGGGAGAGGCCCAAGGGGCAGAAACAGTAACGGTACCGGTCGGTCAGTCAGTCCGGCCTAGGTCGAGTCTAGGGTAGGGTAGAGTATAGATAGGTTGAGAGAATCGGTCAAGGGCTTTTGGGCAGTTGACATTTCGTGGTGGAAGTTGCTGCGCATGCGGCATCAGGTCGTGGTGACTGATACATGCATGGGAGACGGCGGACATAGCCAGACCTTCCGAGCGCTGACCAGACTGGGGTCAACGCTGTCCGCATCCGGTCGTGGTGACTGATACATGCATGGGAGACGGCGGACATAGCCAGACCTTCGGAGCGCTGACCAGACTGGGGTCAACGCTGTCCGCTCTGACTCTCTGGGAGTCAAAGCGGTCTGGGCTATCGGAGGTCTGACGCGTTGGAGCACATGGTGCACTGCTGACCCTCCTCAGGAGTAGGGTCCCAGTGGCAATGCAGCCATAGCTGCATCTTCTCAGAGATTATCATCGTCCGGACTTCATCTTCATCAGAGACTGTTGGCGCTGGGCTTCTTCATCATGATCCAAGTGGTGATTGGCTCGGGGAGCCTGTTTCATACTGGCGCAGGCCAATGAGTTGGATGTCAGGGTGGCGCTGGGTGTTACCTGGGGTTCTGGTGCTATTTTTAGCTATTCAGAGTGTGTGGGGTTGAGGCGCTACCTCTCTGAGAGTAGCGCAACCAGGTTCTGAGGTTATTCAGTGAAAACGATGCTCTGAGTTTAATGAGTAGTCATCTCTTCATTGCTTTCTGGCTGTGATCACTCGGTTGTCTTCTATGAATTCACTGTCTTGTGTATTCTGTCACTTCGCTCCCTTGAGTCTTCCGCTGCGTTCTTTCTGTTGGGCGGTGTCACCCTCCACTACCTCCACCATTCCTTCTGCGCATGTATGGGCGTGTACGGGAGTTCCTGTGAGTGAGCGTTGACATAAATTTCAACGGACAATCATGTTCATAACACGGCCATGGTTGTCCTGAAAAGGTGAGACCACCTCCCATCCCATCCTCACGTCAATACCTCTAGCGCACCCCCTGTCCCATTGTCCTACCTCAGTGTAACGCACTCAGGACCATCAGATACATCTTCAGTCCAATTACAATGCAATGCCACAGCCCGAATGTGTTTATAAATGTTACCCGGGAGCGAGACCAGCGCGTGCTGGTTCCATAGACGAGCGAGAATAGCATTATTCAGGGCAAGAGCCCTGCTGAATAAGGCCATGCCTTTCGCTCTTGTACAGGCAACGAAAGCTTCCATGACCCTTTCCAACAACAGATCCGGTGCTCGGCCCACGCCTGTTTGACAATCGGCATAATCGCCAAGTATACGCTGCAGCTCACCCGGAGAAACCCCCAACGCCCCTTATGCGGCATAATGGCCAAGTATATGCTGCGGCTCGCCCGGAGACACCCACCGAACCCCCCCAATGCCACGTTGAAAATCGACGTAACGGCACGAGTATACGCTGCCGCTCACCCGTAGACGCCACCGAAACCCCCCAACCCCCCTTGTTGTTGCACACCTTCAGGTATCGTAAGCACAGTTTTTCACCAAGTCACGCGGGCCTCCAAAGCCACCGTGAAAGTCCCGAGTACATCGTTCAAAAGCGTCCAGCAAATGGGCCTCGCCGCACTACTCCTTACATGCACAAAAGACAAAAATCATGGCGGTGTATCTTTTTCCATATTCTAGCGGAAGATTCACTCTCGTTTTGCACATTTCGAGAGTAGTACAGGGAGGCGCAGTGATCCGTCGACGGAAAAGTGTCGTCCGCAAAAGATTTACTTTTAGAGTCTTAGACAGCGAATGCGGACCGCAAGGCAGTCCACCACAATGTATTTTTGTCTGATCGTGACCAGAAACAGGAAGCTTTCAAAAAGTGCAATATCAAAAAAAAAAAAAAAACAGTCCAACCATGCGGTAATCGAGCCTGGTCGCGACCAGAAACAGGAAGCTTGTCAAAAAGAGCAATATCTGAAGAAAAAAAAAAAAAAGCCCAACTGCATTCTTATAGGACGAAGAGGGAAAAAAAAAAAAAAAAAAAAAAAAAGCTGCACGGAAGTAAGCTCAAACATTGAGCCGCACAATTGATGGATTTGATGGATTTCTTTCTTTCTTTTTTTCGTTTTCTTTTTTTTTTTTTTTGCTATTGATGGATTCATCATCAGAAGTAGTCTAGCATCGCAACTCTATAGCATGGGCCTCACTGCACTACTCTCCAAATGTGCTAAATGAGACTGAATCCACCGCTAGAACATGGAAAGATACATTGCCATCTTTTTTGTCTTTTGTGCATGTGGAGAGTAGTGCAGTGAGGCCCCATAACAACTCCAAACGTGGAAATCTCGGCTCAGGGCAGATTCACACTAGGACTTTTTTGACTCAGCTCTGACCGTAATTGCTGGCAGATACAACTGTTGGCAGTTGTGATTGGAGCCAGATCCATCCCGGAAAGTGGGCTAGCGTGAGTACGGTCTCAGATATTTAACCTTTCTCCTTTAGCAGAAATCACCTTTTCTTCTTCCTCCCTTCCCTTTCCTCTCTCCCTTCCCTTCACTTGTCCTCCTCCCCTCTCCCTTCCCTTTTTTTTTTTTTTTTTTTTTTTCCAGCAACAATCAGCGCTGTGTGGGGACGGTCTCTATGCTAAGCGAGGAGGAGGACGCAGTGAGGGCAGCGGCTGGATACAAGTTAATACAACGGACATGGTCTTTTTCTGATGGCACGCTGGGCCCATTTCGGCGAGAGAAGGTTAACCGACCCCCCAATTTTCACGGTCATTTATAAGAAAACCAAAGGGTCATTTTAACCATACTTTACACCAATCTGTAGAGTGCACTTCTAACTAACATATTGTAAAAAAAAAAAACAAACAAAAAAAAAAAAACCATATAAAACAGCAAGCCAAAAGTGCACTTTCATGAAATTTCACCAACATTTGAATTCGTCGGTTTTCACAATTTTCACCACTTCCCAAAACAACCATCTCCAGGAGCCCAACGCCACAGATTGAACCTAAGTCCTCTCAGGAAACACAGAAGAAAAGAAAAAAACACAGCCTCCCTTACTTCCTCTCTCTCTCTCTCTCTCTCTCTCTCTCTCTCTCTCTCTCTCTCTCTCTCTCTCTCTCTCTCTCNTCTCTCTCTCTCTCTCTCTCTCTCTCTCTCTCTCTCTCTCTCTCTCTCTCTCTCTCTCACACACACACACACACACACACACACACACAGACCCTTACACAACCAACACACACACACACATACGGGCAGAGCGAGAGAGACAGAGCCGTCCGCAGCCTCCTTCCCACTCCTGGCGCTCATGGCTTGGACTCGAAGATGTCAATGATGCGCACGGCAATTTTGAAACCCTGTTTCATGCCGTTGAGAAGGCAGTACTCGTTCCTCGCGTGGTACGTGGACAGCACTCCGTACCCCATGATCTGGATATCGAACCCGCTCTCCTGCAGATCACGCACAAGCGGCAGCGAGCCCGTGATGGAGAATGGCTGCAGGGATCCCAACACCTCTTTGGAGGCCGTGCAGAGCGCTTTGTACCCCTCCGACGACAGATTGCAAGCAATTCCTGACACAGCGGACTCTTCGAACGACACCTCCAATTTGCCCCTCAGTTCCTCTGCGGGCAGTGTGTACTTTGACGCAGGTCCTCGAGATGGCAGCCCCTCTATGTCCGCGTTTATATCGTCCACGTACTCCCTTATCTTGGCCATAACTTTCTTGATGTCGTAGAACGGCGTGATTCTGCAATCCCCGCTGATCGAACAGTCCGACGGGATCTGGTTGACGCTGCTTCCCGGGAAACTCCACTGGGTGGGTTTCATGGTCGAGGGGGTGGCGAACCCGTAGTCTTTTTCCTTAGGATGGGGTCCAAAATCCTTATAAAATCTCGATTGAATAACGTTAAGTGCCTCCATCGTCATTTCCATGGGGTTGATGGCCTTGTGGGGTAATCCACTGTGAAAGAGCTTGCCTATCCCCCTCAGCTTCCAGGCAATCATTCCTCCGGTTCCAATTAGGGGCTGTTTGTCGGCCGCATCCACCCAATAAACAGGACCCCTTTTCACCTTCTCTAACTGCCCCTCTTTCGCCAGCTGATCAACCCCTACCCCAAGGATGGAAAAATTCTCCTCGTTGGCAATGAACACCCCCATAACTGTCGTCTTCAGCGCCGGCTTGTGTTCCCCCAAGAAGCGGAACAGCTCCGTAAAGAGTGCCACGTGTCCCAGGCAATCAGTGGTGCCCCTTCCACGAAGTTTCACATCACTCTCCTCTCCCTCTCCTCCCTCTACCACCTCCTGCGAGAGAGAGAATGGATCAAAGTCCCACTGGTCTGGATTGGCTGTCACGACGTCCATGTGGCAGCCCACGAACGACACGATGCGCTCGGGATCGGTACCGGGGTACTCGATGATGAGATTGCCGCGCCCCTCGACGTACGTCACGTGGCACACGCTCAGCGGCCCTCCATTCTCCTCGCTCAACGGCGACAACACGTCCAGCACGTGCCGAACCACCCTGTCTTCCTTGGGGATATTCTCGGGAGGGTTGTTCTGAAGATGTCGGGCCTCACCAATCAAGCGGCCAAGAAGAGAGATAAAGCTCGCCCCATCGAGATCCCAACCGACAACAGGAGAGGAGGGGGAGGGGGGCATGACAGCTATGGGTTGATCGTCCATCCCCATTCGTCTTCGTCGCCACCGTCAACAACCTTGCCTTTCACCGGGATCGGGATCGGAATGCGATGGACACCGCCTGTCGTCAAGACCGTCCACATCAAACAGAGAAACAACATTTCCATTGTCATTGGGATACAGTACAGTCATAACATACAAAAAAAAAAGGGAAAAAAAAAAAAAAAAAAGGCGAGCAATTTGAGTCTCCGCACAAAGTGACAAGAAACTTTTTACCCACACATAAGAAGAAGAAGAAGAAGAAGAAGAAGAAGAAGAAGGAGCTCTGCGCGCAGACCAAATTATAAATGAGACAGCGCCAACACCCTGGCTAGTATGGTTTGTAGTGGCTCAGAAGAAGAAGAAGAAGAGGGGAAAAAAAAAA